GCATCTCCCCAGCCCTCCTTCCTCACCATGGCAACTCAAGAGGTTCTTGAGCTGTGGTCCAGACGGAACCCCTACCCCGAAGCCTGACCACAGCCCTGCCTACTGGGGAAAACTGGGAATGTCTCACTCAGCCCTGGGCTCAAGTTGCTGGTGGCTCATTTGTTGTTTATTGTTTTTTTACTTTTGGAGGATAGTTTTTTATTCGTTGAAAGGACAGGAAACCCAAAATAATTTAAGCAAAAACAAACAAACAAACAAAAAAACAGGTAAGTAGGTAGTGGATAAGTAGAGAGAAAGAGAAACCCAAGGTGAATTTGGAACAGATACGACTGGCTCCAGGGACCCAGACAATATCATTAGAGCTCTCTCGTTCCATCTCTTGGCTCTGATAGTTTCTTTCCAGATGATGATGGTTTCATTCTCCAGACCAGACTTCTCCGTGTGATGGGCAAGAAGACTTGTGCCTCTCATGCTGTGCAGTGCTGATGAAAAGAACTCATTGTGTAGAAAAGTCTCAGGGCGGATTCTGATTGGCCCAGATTGAGTCAAATGACTATTCCTGAGCCAATTCCTGTGTCTGAGAGGGTATGATAAGATGGGCCTGGCCCGGGTCTTGTGCCCATCTCTCTGGTCATGATTGAGGTGTTGGTGGGTCAGGGGGACAGTGATTAACAGCCCTGCTAGGAGCGTGTGAGTGGGAAGGGGATCCCTAAGGCAGGCAAAAACTACCCTGCCACCCCTTGGTCCACTGCAATTCCAAGTGTTATGTTAGCCGAGTGTGTGTGTGTGGGGGGGTGGATGGGGATGCTTGAGGTCATGACAGCTCATCACTCATGTACTCTTTAGTGATTGTGTTTGAGTCCTATGATCACGCAGGCTCTCCTGGGCTTTGGGATCCAGTATTAAACAAAATAGACAATCCCTGCCCTGGAGAAGCTTATATTCTTGTGGGGAGAAGCAGTCAAAAAGAAAATAAATTAACACAATCCACATAGAACATCAGATGGTGCTAAGTGCTCTAAGGAAATATAAAGCAGGACAGGGGAGCAGGGAGTGCGTGGTGGGGCTGGGGTCACGGTTTTACAGACGCCAGTCTGGGAAGGCTCACAGAGAAAGCAAGGTTTGAGCAGAGCCCTGCAGGGGGTGAAGGAGGGAGCCATGCAGACGTCTGGGAGAGGAGCCTTCCAGAGAGAAGGCACAAGGAACGAAAGGGCTAAGAGAAGGGTGCCGGCAGGCTCAAGGAACAGAAGGAGGCCAGTGTGTCGGGACTGAGAAGGCAGGGGGCCACAGTAGAGGCCGAGCCCAGTGAGGCAAGGGGTCCCCACTCATAGTCTCTCGGGCCACTGTGAGCTCCAGGGCTTGTAGCCTGGGAGAGAGCAAAGCCACTGAAGGTCATGAAACATGGGAGAGCACCCCATTTGTTTGCTGCGGTTTGCTTCCCATCTGCTTTTAAGTAAGTTGAGAGCAGGGGCAATATTTAGGTATTCATCCATTCATTCATTCATTCATTCACCCTTTCATTCCTTTATTCAGCAAACATCCACTCAGTACCTACTATGTGCCAGGTGCTGGGAGCTCAAAGATGAGGAGCCCACCATCTAGTGGAAAAAAGAGCAAAGTAAAGCACAGACGTCAGTGCCACGTGAAATAAGGACTCCACAAATAGTCCCAAGTGCCCTCACCCACTCCAGAAAGGGCAGCAGCACAAGTCCCATCCAGTGGCTCCAACTGGCTCCAAGCCCAGGATCTTGGGTCTCTCAGGCTGATCCAGATATAGCTCCTCACGGTCTCACAGCCTAGAGCCAAAGGATGTATTTACCCCCCAGCGCAATGCTTAGTAAGCAGTGTGGAGGGGAAAGTAGGAGAGCAGCAACATACTCCCCTGCTGAGGAGGGCAGAAGGGAAACTGCATGCACCGATCACCATCCGCCACGCAGGCGTCATCTCGGGACTCCTGCCTCAGCTGGGGTTGGGGTGGGGTGAGATTCCATGGCCAATTCTCCCGCTACCCATGCTCTTAGGCTGAGGGTGGGGGTTTCTTCATGATCCCCCATGGCCATGCCTGGAGTGGGATAGGGGAGGAAAGGGCCAAATTGCTAGATCCTTCTTCTGGGGGCCATATTGCTTTTGGTTTATTTCTGTCTTTACAGCCTGTTGCACCGTGTCTGCACCCACTAGACCTTTTGTAAATATTGGTGATTTAATACTGGTGGTATGCCCAGGACGCTGCCTGTGGATACCCAGGGCAGGGATCTAACCAGGCTGTGGAGCATGAGGGAGGCATCAGTGATGACCCCTGGATTTGTGGCCTGGAGGCCCCAGAGAATGGGACTGCTCGTCTCTGCGACAGGGAACGCAGGAGAAGGAGCTGCTTTGGGGATCAGTGAGGAATTCATTTTGCGATGTTGAGTTGGAGGTACCATGGCACATTCAAAGGCCTGGAAGTCTCAAGATCAAAGAACAAGGCTAAGGGGAAAGGAGAGCTGGAGAGCTGGAAGGAAATGAGCTGTGGGACGGGTGTGGGAACTGGGGTTGGACATCAGAGGTAGCAGGGCTCCAGGCGGTGACTGGGGTGAGGCCAGGGAGGGGCTGGATGGAGGAGAAGCCAAAGCCATGCAGAGGTCACAACCTGCCCTTCCTCAGGGTCCCCTCCACTTGGCTGACTCTGCCTACTGACTCCAAACCCCGGGATGCTGGGTCTCTCGGAGGGAGCAGGGCTTGGTGTTCCCATGGCATCCTTCTTCACGAGCTGTCTCTCAGGTGCAGATTCTAACCTTGGGGGAGGGTGGGACCAACAGAAGCTGTGGGTCTGTGGGAGGGAGGAGCAGACATTTCCTGACAGCATCTTTGAGGATGTCTAGCTCCGTTTTGAGTCCCTGAGAGGAGCTTCTCTAGAGAGCCTTGGCCTGGGCAGACTCTCTACCACAACGTTCTCTGTGGCTCCGAGGAAGCTGTGAATGAAGTGCAGGAAGGCAGCAGCCTGGGGATGGCGGAACAGTCTCAGAAGCGTTCTTTCCACTTCCTGGCACAAGGGAGCTGCTCAGCAGAGCTTTGTTGAATGAATGGATAGTTGAATGAATGAGTGAGTGAGTTCAAGCATTTGTAAACAAATGAATGAATGATCAGGTGATCCTTGGAACTTGCAGAAGGGTGTCTCAGTGCCTGGTAGATGAGTGGCTCTCAATCTTGTTTATTGGGTGATGGGTGAGTGTAGGATGAGGGCTCAGAGGTTTCCTGAACCCACAGAGTGGCTATAAGTCCTAAGTAAATAAACATGGTTATTTCCCACAGTTGCCTTGCAGGATAATGAAGTGGCATACTCTCCCTTTGGGAGCTTCTGCAGTTTTTCTTTTATTTTAGCTCCTCAACCATCAGTTGGAGGCTGCTTTCCATCTCCTGACCCCAGGCAGGGAGGAAGAGGCAGGCAGAGTTACCATTCATTCTTTTGCCAGGGCGGGAATGACACAAAGGAGCTTTCATTCTCGACTCTCAAAGTGGGACAGCTTGGGTCCTTCTAGCAATCTGGGGTTCAAGTCAAAACATTCTCCCTCTCCCTCCCTCCTTCCTTCCTTCCTCTGTCTCCTGAAGTGCATTTTGAGTCCACTCAGGAGTGGCTCTGCCACATCTGTTCAGTCCCTGGCATGGCACCAACTCACACTATCACAGTGCGGCAGCCTCAGCCTTTGTCACCATCCTGAGCATAGACTCCCTGAGCATCTATGTGTAGCATGGGGCTGGGCTCATGGACACTGGGAAATCTCTCTCACTGGCTCTGACCTCAGGGAGCTCAGGGACCGGCTCCTAGGAGGGGATATAACCGGAGGCAGGAACACTACGGAGTAGCCTTCTGCATTTCTGTCCCGTGAGGTTGGGAGCTAGGCTCTCAGGGAACATATTCCCCAGCAACACCCAACACAGGGCCCTCTCCCATAAGGCCAGCTGCCTTCCTGGGACCATCCCTCTCAGGACCAGGTCTGTGACAGAGTCCTCGTGTGGCAGTTCCTGCCTTCCTGCTGTCTCTGGGGGCCTGCAGCTCCAGCCCGGTGGCTGGTCAGGTGGAAGGGTTGGGATCGCAATGCTCTCACAGTTGACGGTATTTCAAGGCACTCTGGAGAACCTCCGGCCAGTAGTTTGGTTCAAATAATGAGATGTCGGGATCCATCTATGCATCCATTCATCTCAGATGTGTCCTTCCCCAGTGTCTCTCATGGGGGGAATCTGGGAGCACAGAGTAGGGTGTGGCTAAGAGGAGGGAGGCTGGGCTACAGCATCAGTCATCCATCACTCCCCAGCACTTAGCACCAGTGGGCCCAAGGTCTGACGTGGGGCTATTGCAGCAGCAAGCACGAGTCCCAGAGAAGATGCATCATTGTCCGTGCATTTGAGTTCTGGCAGCTCTGGCATCAGCCTGCAACGGCCTGCTTGTCCTCATGGGTATCCTCTGTGCAGTGGCTTGTCTAAGCCCTGGGTGTTTTACTGATCAGGCACCTCCCACATGCCTAGCCTAGCGTCAGGCTCAAGTTCATCCCTAGGAGACTGTCGATCTGCGGGTTGCTTGGTGACCTCCAGCCTGGTTGGCGGTCCCCTCAGGACCTTGGGTCTCCAGGAGCCATCCTTTCCATATCCAGCAAAGAATATGGGCTTCAGGGTCAGAACAACCAGTTTGAATCCAGAAGCTGCAACTTACTAGCTCTGACCTTGAGCTGTTTTTTTTTAAATAGACTTTATTTTTTTAGAACACTTTTAAGGACACAGCATTGAGCAGAAAATACAGAGAGTTCCCATGTACGGTCTGCCCCCACACATCTGGGTACTGTTTTTAACTTCTTGAGCCTCAGTTTCCTCATCTGTGCAGTGGGGGAATGACGATCTCTGCTCACAGAGCTGGGGAAGGTACAAACGAGGTGCACAGTTGGCTCCCGCCTGGCAGTAAGTGCTTACACATGGTGGCTACTTTATCCTCCTGCCTGTGGCCCCTCTGATGCTGACCTTTGTCTCAGGTGACAGGAACACCCTCGAAAGGCTTTGATGAGAAGGCCTACCTGGCGGCCAAGCAGCTGAAGGCTGGAGAGGACCCCTATCGGCAGCACGCCTTCAACCAGCTGGAGAGTGACAAGCTGAGCCCAGACCGGCCCATCCGGGACACCCGCCATTACAGGTGTGGCCTCCATTGTGCCCAGGGAGAGAGAAAGGGGGAGGGAAGGGCCAGTACCAGTTAGCTTGTTTCTCTCAGTCATGTGGATTTAAGAAATGAGGAAGATTTCTTCAGACTCAGTTCAAACCTTCACCTTCAGTGGTTGTCCTGACTCCCTTTATGTCATTGACCTTCGGGGGGCCCTGACAAGGCCAAGGAGACCTCCCAACTGCGGCGAGGGAGGCCCCTCAGCACCTCAGTCTGGAATCCCAGTGAGAGTGACCTGCCAGGGGACCACAGGGAGTCTGAGGGGTGGGCGAGCCGGGCGTTCTTGGTGCCCCACTGGTGGTGCCTGAGGTGAAGGGGGGCCGCCAGCCCTGCCTGTACTGTGCGTCGGTGGACTGCTGTGCACTGTGCGCTGCCACACTGGATCCCCCCCCCCTTTTTGTTTAAGATTGGCACCTGAGCTAACAACTGTTGCCAATCTTCTTCTTTTTTTTTCTTCTTCTCCCCAAAGCCCCCAGTACATAGTTGTGTATTCCAGTTTGAGTGCCTCTGGTTGTGCTATGTGGGACACCACCTCAGCGTGGCCTGATGAGTGGTATCATGTCCGTGCCCGGGATCCAAACCAGCGAAACCCTGGGCTGCTGAAACCCTGGGCCACCGAAGCAGAGTGTGCAAACTTAACCACTTGGCTCCGAGGCCGGCCCCTGACATCCCTTTCCTTCCTCTCTTCCCACTCTACTGCCCCTGCTTTTTCAGCAACTCCCAGAAATGCTTCCCAGTCTTGCTCTTAGTTATCCCAGTGAGAACTAAGGAGAGGCCCTAGACCAGGGTCAAGGACGCCTTCCACACTATTCCCAGCTCTGACTGTGCTCAGTGTGAGTGGCTGACCTTGGGCACGTCATCAACCCCCCTCCTGGGTTCAGGCCCTTGTTGTCTCCCATCTAAGTTATACGGGTCGCCACATCCAGTCTCTGCTCTGCCTGCCCCTCCTACTGGAACAGTCTCAGCTCCTCACCCTGAAGTGCAAGCGGCCCCTTCCCCTCTGAGGCCCTGCTCCTCTTCCCCTAGCACGTCATGCTCCTGCAGTCCTATACTGCTCCTGCCTCCCTCCTTGTTTTTACCCCGCTGTTTCCTCTGCCTGAACCCCCCTCCCCAACACACACACCTTCACCACTCCTCTCAGTGTCCTCTCCTCGGGGGAAGGCTCCTTGCCAGCCTAGGCTGGTTTGGGGGCCTCCTCTGCGCTCCATGCAGACATCTAACAGGGCAATGAGGGGCTGTGGGAGCTGACCCACCCATCTACCTGCAGCTTTGAATGGTCAACATGGGCGGTGTTGGCTCCAGCTATGGACCCAGCGCTGGGCTGGTCCTGGTTTGAGGGTAGATGAGAATGACTGGGGTCAAGATTGCTTTTCCTTCTGACGCAGCTACTCCGCAGCACAAAAGATGTATGTGAGATAAAGGTCTGCTTCTAGCACTTTCCCTGTCACTCATGGAGTTGTGCCTGAACTCCAGTGGGCTTGACAGCCTGTGCAAGGCGAGATGGACGTGCTGTTGGGGGAGTCCTAGACTGTCCTCACTGTCCTGGAAGCCCAGCACCGTCAGCCTCCAGAGACCACGCATGCTGCTAAATAGGGCGATAATCCTGCTACTCAGGAAGGTCCCACCCAGGTCTAATGGCCAGTTCCGGCCTTGGAAATTCTTTCTCAGTCAGTCCGGGGGCAGTCTCCCCTCGTGTCTGCCTGCACTGCGGGGCCTGGGAGGTTATGTCCATACAGCACCACTAGGAGACTTCTCATGGGCAGCCCTACGTGGCCACCTAGACCCCGGGGCCTGGAGGTTCCAAATCTGTGATTCAAGAGGTTGGCCTGGGTCACCTCTGTTCTCACTCCCACCCACCCCAGCTCTGAACCTTCTCAGGTGTTCACCGAAGAACTTGAAGGAAGAGTTCCTCCTGGGGCTCCAGGCATTTTAAAATGAGACTCTTTGGATCCAAGGCAGTGTGGGGTGGTGAGGTAGGCCTCCCCTCCTGCCCCGGAGCTGCTGCCTGGCCCTTTCAGAAGCCCGAGGGGGATCAGGATCTGTGTGTGTGTGTGTGTGTGTGTGGGCGCATGTGTAGGGGGAGCAAAGGAGGTGCTGGCTTTGGTGGGTAGAGGCTCCCATGGTGGAGCTGTGTGTGCTGGGGTGAGGCACACTCTTGCCCTGGGCCCTCCAAACTGCAGCTGCTGCTGGGTTCCAAACTGTCAGGCTAGTTCCTGGTTCAGCCCTCAATCTAGGGAACCCCCATCAAGGGGAGCAAAGAGACCTAAGCTGTGTAAGACAGGCCTACCAGCATCAGAGAGAAAACCCCGCCAGGCCCAGACTTAAAACACAGGCATGGGACACACCTCTTCAGAGGCTCTTGGCTCTTGGGAGCTGGATAAAACCCCGTCATCATAGATATAAACCCCAGAGAAATGCAGAGTGGAAAGGGTTGCAGGGCCGGTGGGGAGGAGGCCAAGTCCGCCCCCGAGATGGGGTGTGGGTAGGTTGGCCACCTTCAGGTGGAGGTTGGGATTGCTATCCAGATTCCCTCCTTCCTGGGCATAAGATGGTTAGAGTTCAAGGACAGAGGCCTGGGGCCTAGAGGTCAGTGCTGGGGGTCTGGGCGCACAGGAGATGGCTGCTTCTGCCAGCATTCCCTGTCTCAGGAGGCCAAGCCCACCCTCACCTCCAATCCACGCAGGAAGATGGTACACACGGCAAGTGGGGCTTCAGGGCAGGGGAGTGGTGGAATGGGGGGGTCAGAGGTGAATTTTTCTTCTCCCCTACATCCTCCCTCAAGGAGAGTTATTTTAAAGCCTCTTAGGATTTCCCCTTGGTGGGGGGAGGTCCCAGGCTGGTGGAACTCTTGCCTGTCTGACCGGGTCTGCTCTGCAGGGCAGGAAATGGGCCTGGGAATTGGGCTGTAAGCTGCTGTCAGTGGAATGAATGCCGAAATGAAAAAATAGTCACTGCTGGAATAGTCAGAGAGCAATTGTAATAAAGAAGATTGCCATGAAAACCAGCTCCGCAGCTGCCTTCGCGCCGGCCCCAGGAGCACGAATAAACGCATTTGCAGAGACGGCAGGGATGAAGGCTGGCGAGAATGGATTGCTTTCATTCCCTTTCCTGAGGAGTGGGGAGCCAGTGGGCCAAAAATGTGTCTGGAGCCGGGAGCACAGAGCTGCCGGGGGAGGAGGGAGGCGGCGGGAGCTGCCTTTGGAGTCTTCTCAGAGGCTTTGTCTCCTCCAGGGGTCCCGGGGCCGGGGAGGAGTGAGCCCGCTCCCCTGCCTGGTGTCACAGCCGGGCTGTCAGTGTTGGACAGTGAGAGGGAGGAACTCCCAGGAAGGCAGGACAGGACACTTCTTCTCCAGATCCGACCAAATGTCATGAGCCAGGAGAAGAGAAGGAAGAAGCGACAGAGTATCAGAGACGAAAGAGAGGCTGTTTTCGCTCTCCTCCCTCCCGCATTTTGCTTCTCATGGCTGCTCCATAGGCAGGGAGTTCTGTCTGTTGGTCCAGGGCTGGATCATGGGGCCTGGTGCTGTGCCTGCACACAGTCGGAGGCCTGCAAATGCTTCAGTGACTGGGGATGCTCTAGGTCTTTGGCAAAGAGTGCCTGGGCCCGGGCAGGTGCCCCCACCTGTGGCTTCCCTCGGAGGACTCCAGGCTGGGTGGCCTGAGTGGGCTGGAGTGTGGGCGTGGAGGGGCAGGGCCCACATCCTGTTTCAGGCTTGGCTTCTCTGTCCCACAGAGGTATTCCAGAGGGACAGCAGGCTGGACAAAAAGAAGCCTCAAGCCTGCCCTCAGGATGCTCCCACAGCTGCCCTCTGACCTCTCTGCTCCCTTCTCAGTTGCCCATCTGTGTCCTACTCTGTGGACCTGCCGGCCACCAGTGTCATCATCACCTTCCACAATGAGGCCCGCTCCACCCTCCTGCGCACGGTGAAGAGGTCAGCCCCGCCTTGGGACCCTCAGCTCAATGGTGCTACTCCCCCAGCCTCGGGGTGATCTGCTCCACCCCTGCAGCGGAGGGCATTGAGATATGGTGCTGCTGTCAGATGCATGAAGACCAGTGACCCTGGGCAGGGGGGTCCTGCCCTTCTGAGAAGCTGGGGCTGATGAATCAGGGTCAGAGAGACCCCAGAAGGCCAGTTGTTAGCAAGATGCCGAGTCAAAAACAAGTTTGGTTCCCCAAGACAAGGGCAGAAATGCCGAGGGAGGCAGGGATAGGCGTGAGGCTTCAGGTGGATGGATGCCAGCCCAGGAGGCCCCGGCTCCTGTGAGTGATTCAGAGAGAGGTGCCCCTTCATCTCCTAAGCTTGGCCCTGTGGTCAAGTTTAATTCCTCCTCACCCCATTTCTTTAATGAACTTAGGTAGGAATAGGATTCAGAAAGGAGTGCCGGTGGTATTCTAGGATTGAAGAAGCTTGGGTTTCCTTTCCCAGAGAGTGGAGGAAGAGGAGGGATGGTGGGAGGGAAAGAGTGGGGGGCTTCCTGAGAACACCACTCCTGAGCCATCAGGCCAGAAGGAGCCTCATTAGCCTTCCAGGCAGAGGGTTCCAGGTCCAGCTTGGGGCTGCCCCGGCAGGGCTGGTTAAGCCTAGGCAGCCAGAGCAGCTGCAGGTCCTGCCCAACAACCAAACTAGAGCAGCCCCCACCCCTGTCTGGAGCGGGTCCCAAGTGCCCGAGGCTCCAGGCAGCAGGGTCAGCGCGTCCTCGGAAGAGCCCGAGGAACACACGGCTCCTCAGCCACAGATCAAGGCCTGGAAGGTTTGCAAGCAGCTGCCTGTGGCCAGTGTGCTGACCCCCAAGCTGGGTGGTGGGGGAGCCCCATGGCAGGGAGAGGTAATTGGAAGGTGGCCCTAAACCTGGCCTCTTCTGTCCCCACCGCTGCTCCAGTGTCCTGAACCGCACTCCCGCCAGCCTGATCCAGGAAATCATTTTAGTGGACGACTTCAGTTCAGACCGTAAGTATCCACCTTCTGCGTTTGCACCCCTCCAAACCCCCATTTCCCCAGAATGCTGAGGCCAGCACTCTTGACCTCTGCCCCCGCCAGGATCTTCAGTCTTTTCTAGGTGCCCTCTCTGGCTCTGCTCGCTGGTGTCAAAGGAGGGGAAAGAGGAGTGTTGCTTTGATGGGACACCAGTGAGATGACATTTAAAAAGATGGAAACAACATCAGCATCGTCCTTAGTTATACAACTGCCGTGTGTAGCTCATCCCTTCAGTCCAGCTCCATGGGTGATAGACGTTGACTGTGCTGGTGCCCTCTGGTGCCCCCTGGGGGTAATGCCATAAGTACAGGCATTCCTCAGAATGGCCTGGCCATGGGGGACCGGGCAATCCTTTGGCCAGTGGAGATGACTATGCTCCTCCATGCCTCCCCAGCCCCGGCCCTTTTCCTGGGCCTGGTATGTGACAGCTCCTGGGCAGTTCCAGTGGCAGCCAAGCCACTTGTGGTCGGATGCCCACATCTGAATGAGCTTGCTTCCTTCTCTCCACTCAGCTGAAGACTGTCTGCTCCTGACCAGGATCCCCAAGGTCAAGTGCCTGCGCAACGACCGGCGGGAAGGTAAGTTCTTGGACCTTGGGTGCTGCTGCAGACCCATTTGGCTCCAGACCTCTGCACCTCCCCACTCCCTTTTGGCGCCACATCATATGAAGCCAGCATGGGGCTGCTGCATCCCTGGTGGCCAGGACCAAGGTCTGTGGAAGGACCCTCCTGCCATCCCAGGTCAGCCCCTGTCGTAACATGACTGTGGGCAGGTGGCTCTGCTTCAGGAGGCCTGGGTTGTCTCTTCTGGGAATGGGGATAACAATGGTCCCCTTTCTGCCTTGCGCGGCGGTTGTATGGATTACATGGGGTGGACTGAGAGGGCACGCTTTGAGAAAGTCGGTGCTGTCACCTCACTGCCATCAGGAGGTGTTTTGGAGCATCACCCATGGCACAGGGTTGTGCACAGCACTCTAGGGGACACAAAGGAAGCATGAAACGTGGCCCCTGCCCTCGGAGAGCTTATCACGTCCCCAGAGAGTCAGAATCACGGCAGCACGGGCTGGTTATGATCATGTGGGGGTAGAAAGGAGCGGGGGGAGAGGGAGCGCAGGAGAGGAGCCATATCAGGGAGGGGCCTTGCTTGGGTGAGGGGTTGTGGGACAGTGAAGGGGGTCCAGGGAGGGCATCCAGGCTCAGGGACTCTGCAGGCAAAGACCTGGGTCAGGAGGGCACACAGGTAGTGCTGACGGCCCTCTTCCCGAGCGCCCATCCTGAGAGGCGTTCACTTGCCTGCATTCCCACATTCAGGCCTCAGAACAGCAGATAGGGAAACGGGGTTTAAGGAGGTTCAGTAATTTGCCTGGGGTGATGAGTAGAGGAGCCAGGATTCTAACCCAGGGGAGGGGGACCCACCCCAAAGCCCAACCTCTTAACCCCCCTCTACTTATTCTCCTTTCCTAGGACAATCGGGGCCTGGTCAGCAGAGGGAAGGGTGGGTGAGGATAGATGACAGACCACCTTGGAAACCAGAGAAAGGCATTTTGACTTGATAAGGCAGGTAGTAGGGAGCCACTGAAGGTTTGAGACAGGCAGAGAGAGAGGTGATGGACACATTTAGGAAAGACCAATCAGGCCAAGGGGACCTTCAGACTGGAGTGGAAGAGGCCAGAGAGAAATTTCTCCCAAGCACAGGGTTGAAGATGCCTTTAGGCCTGGGGATATAGCGGGAGTGGAAGGAAGGGACAGATGGACTGCTGCACAGATGGGTGGATCAGCAGCAGGACAGCAGCAGGGCACCGGGCAGAGGTGTGGCCAGGGAATTCGCTCCATGAGCCACTTGTATTTCAAGCTCTTAGAGTGAGGCCCTTCCGTCCCCACAGCTCACAGGGCACCGGGGGCTGCTCTGTCGGGAACAGGACCAGCTGGGCCTCCTCGCTCCTGACAAGCAAGTCCCAACCCTGACCATGGGGCTGCCCAAAGCGAGGCCTTCTCTGACGGTCAGTGAGCCGTTGGTGAGCCTGTCAGGGAATGGGGTGGAGGCAGAGCAGAGTCTGCAGGTGGAGGCCTCCTGGGCGCCAGGCTCCCTCGCTGACAGGCAGGGACTATTCTCTCTCTGAATCTTCAGATAAGAAACTGAGGCTCAGAGACGTTAAATAACATGCTTACGGTGAATGAAGGGGCTGACATACTAACTTCCGCCTGTCTTGGTCTAGAAGATTCTCTCCATGTCACACGTGATGGTGCAGCTGGAGGGGGGGACTGCCCTGAGGTTCCCGAGGGGTGGGGGGAAAGGGTTTTAGCTCCTGGTTCTCCTTTGGTACCAAGCCACACTTTATTGCAATTTTCATTCATTAACTCTGACAGTTACTCAGTGTGTCCCCCGAGCCCAGAACAGGGTCTGGCACATGGAGGGCCCTCAGAGAATGACCTTGGAGTAATGATGGTTGATGGGTGGATGAGAGAAAGAAAGTGAAGGAGGGAGGAAATAAACAAATACGAAGCAAAGATCAATCACCATAACTCAGAGGAAACCTCAGCCGCTGAAGGGGCGGAGAGCCCTGAGACTCTGCGGGGCGGCAGGGAGCAAATTGGCTCCATCTGGCACCAGCCTCTGTCCACTCCACTTGTAGGGCTGATCCGGTCCCGAGTTCGGGGGGCAGATGTGGCCACAGCTGCCGTCCTCACCTTTCTGGACAGCCACTGCGAAGTGAACACCGAGTGGCTGCAGCCCATGCTGCAGCGGGTGAAGGAGGTGAGTCTGTCCGTCCCGGGGGAGCTCTGGCCCTCGGGATGTGCCCGCCATGATCTTGGCATGAGGGAGTATGAACAGTCTTTGAAGCTGGGCAGGCAGAGTAGGGAGCCTCAATGGTCTGCTTCCTCCTGAGTGACTTCCCCTCATTGAGCTTTCTCTTCCCAAAATGGGGATGATTGTAATGTTTGTCCCAGCAGGATATTATGAGAATTAAATTGGATGAAAGCCTGGGGGAGATATAAGCTCCTACTGTGAAAAAGGTGTTGTTGTACTCCTCCTGGGGGAGGCAGGGTCCTGTGCTGGGCGGTGGGGGGTGGGGGTGGGGCTCTGGGTCAGCCTAGGCAGCCCGAGAAGGAGGGTGGAGAGGATGGTGTTCTTAAGGAGACATGAGGGAGGCTGTGTGCCTGCTGTTCTCTAGAATGGGGAGGACTGGACAGATGGAGGAAAGGATGAGGCGATTACAACTCAACCATAAAAAGACAAATAACCCAATTTAAAACTGGGCAAAGGATTTGAATGGACATTTCTGCGAGGAATATACACAAATGGCCAACAAGCATATGAAAAGATGCTCAACCTTATTAAGTCATTAGGGAAATGCAAGTCAAAAGCACAATGAGATACCACTTGACACCTACGAGGATGGCGGTAATCAAAAAGATGGACAGTAACAGGTGCTGATGAGGATGTGGAGAAATAGGAGCCTTCGCACACTGCTGGTGGGAATGTCAAATGGTGCAGCCACTTTGGAAAACAGTCTGGCAGGTCCTCAAAAGGTTAAACATAGAGTTAGCATGTGACCAGGCAATTCCACTGCTAGGTATCTACCCAAGAGAGCTGAAAATGTCTGTCCACACAAAAACTTGCGCACGAGTGTTCAGAGCAGTATTATCATAAAAGCCAAAATGTGGAAACAACCCAAATGTCTATCAACTGATGAATGGGCAAACACAATGTGATAGACCCATACAATGGAATATTATTCAGCCATAAAAAGGAACGAACTCCTGATACATGCTACAATGTGGATGAACTTTGAAAATCTTATGCTTAGTGAAAAGCCAGTCGCAAAAGACCACATATTACATGATTTCATTTATACAAAACGTCCAGAAAAAACAAATCCATAGAAATAGGAAGGAGATTAGTGGTTGTCAGGGGCTGGAAGGATGACGGGAATGGGGAGTGATGCTAGTGGGTCCAGGTTTTCTTGTTGGGGTGATGAAAGCATTCTGGAACTAGATAGTGGTGATGGTTGCACAACCTTGTGAATATACTAAAAATCACTGAATTGTACCCTTTAAAATTGCGAATTTTATGGTATGTCAATTATATCTAATAAAATTGTGATAAAAATGTGAATTACATCTCAGTACAAAAAAGTCTATAAGAAAGATGAGATGAGGCGCCACCGGGCACTGTGAGGAACCGTGGGTGGTCTCCCCTCATCCGCCACATCCCAGGCTCTTGCGTCGTCCTGAGACGGGGTGTGAACTGAGGGCCAGAGCTGGATTCCAAGTGCAGACCAGAGGATTCCGAGGGTCAGTGCAGAGTGCGGGGAGAGAAGAGAGAAAGATGAGGCTGTGCTCCGTGTCCTCCCTGGAGAGGGATGGAGGGCACGTGGTGTATGATAGAATCCACCGCCACTCCCTCCCCGCTCAAAAAATCTTGAGTAAAATCGACATTCACCACCAACGATTTGGAGGTGGATTTGTGTCTGGGAGGCGATGAAGGGAGTAGTGAGTGGGTGTAGCATGAGAAGAGTGACACTCAGGTTACACAGGGACTGCAGGGTCCCTGCCCTCAAGCTGCTAGTGATCCACTTGGGAAGACTCAACCCAAACATATACAAAGGTGGATGATAATTAATAAGACAACAGTTCAAACCAGCAACAGAAGAGCCACTTCAGGCAGCATATGATTCACTGTCCCAGAAATGGTCTGAACTGTAATTGTGAGAGTAGCTTAAAAGAGGAAGAAATCCTCAGTCTGCAGCAATCAGGGAGGGCTTCCCTGAGGAGCTGAGATCCCAGCAGGGCTCAACGTGATGTGAGAGGAGGAGGCCGGGAGAGCATTGTGTCCAGGGGACCCAGGTGGGACCTTGCAGGAGCCTGGATGTGGTGATGCAGGACAGCTCCCGGGAGCCTGCCATGTCCTGCGGGCAGTGCTGAGTGCCCCATGCCTTGGAGAGAACTGCTTCCCAGAGCTGGCAGCTGGGCCTTTTCTCGCAGAGTCCCTGGCCTCGCCCCATTCTCGTGTTTCCTCTCCTAGGACCACACCCGCGTGGTGAGCCCCATCATCGATGTCATCAGTCTGGACAATTTTGCCTATCTTGCCGCGTCCGCGGATCTTCGCGGAGGTGGGTCCGGCTCCCAGGGGAGGGGCTCTAGACCTGAAAGGAGGCAGGGGAGGGCAGGCAAAAGCCCCGGCCTAGTGCTCTTCTTCCCGGCCTTGCCAGAGCGTCTCATGTCTCTTCACCTCCAGGAAATGAAAAGGGATTGTGTAGAGCCCTGAGGTTGGGGACAAAGGGCCAGCGCTGGCAGTTGCAGGCTCCTGGCACAATCAGTGGCAGAACCAAACTAGTCTCTCGTCTTTCCCTCCCCTCAAACCTTGACACACGCCTTTCCTAATGCTGCCAGCCCAGGGACCTGGCCACAAGTCCTGGGAGGAGGACAGGACGTGACAGCCGTCTTGGGGGTGGGGAGGGGCCCCCAACCTTGCATGAATTCCTCGCAGGTACACCTGGATGGTCTAGACCCAGGCTCTCTCACACGTGGCTATTGAGCTCATGAAACATGAGCAGTCTGAATTGAGATGTGCTGTAGGTATAAAATACACAACAGCTTTCCAAGACTTAGTAGGAAAGAATGGAACATATCTCATTAGTAATTTTTTATATTGATTACATATCAAAATGACAATATTTTGGTATATTGTGTTAAAATATAGTATTCAAATTAAATTCATATGTTCTTCTTACTTTTTGATGTAGCTTGCATTCCATTTCTTTTGGTCACCTCTGGTCTAGACTTTAGAACCGTGCTGTCCAATAAAGTAGACAATAGCCACATTTGGCTATTTAAATTTAAATGAATTAAAATTAAATAAAATTGAAAATGCAGTTACTTGCACTAGCCACATTTCAAGAGCACAGTAGCCACACGTGGCTAGCACCTACCATCTTGGACAATGCAGATACAGAGCATTTCTATCACTGCAGACAGTCCCGTTGGGACAGGCTGCTCCAGAGAATCTGTTGCTGGGAGCTGGCAGGCAGGGTGGATTTCCTATTCAGGGCTCAGACTTCCAATAAATGGACACAGCCATTAGTTAGCTCTTGGGGTTGAGTGGGATTCCGAAGGGAACCAGGCATTTCCCCTTTGGGAAATCACCTCAGGGCCTTTGCACTTGCTGTGACCCCCCACACACCCCAAATTCCTTTTTCTCAGATATCTGCATGGATCAGTCCTTCATTCAGGTCTCTACTCAAATGTCACCCCATCGGAGAGCCTTCCCTGACTACCCTTACTAGAGTAGCAAGAGCACTCTTCATTTCTTTTCTTTTCTTTAAGCACTTTTCACCCCAACAGACATATGCTCTGTTTATTGATTTATCTTTGTAGTCGCTGTCTTACCCAGTAGATTGAAACAATGAGGGCAGGGACCCACCTCTCTCTGAATGAAGGCATGACCGCGTGACTTGCCCAGGGCCGTGTTCGAGCTGGCCTCTGACCAGGGGAGACTCTGAGGGGTGTCAGAATGAGGGGGCAGCAGTTCCCTGTGGGCTCTGCCCTGAGTCCCGTCCTCACCCTGCTCTGTCCCTTAGGATTCGACTGGAGCCTGCATTTCAAGTGGGAGCAGATCCCTCTTGAGCAGAAGATTGCCCGGACAGACCCCACCAAGCCCATAAGGTCAGGGCCGCTGTGGGCTCTGGGGAGACCCCTTCCTTCCCTGGGTCCGGGGCCTGGGAGGCTGCTGGGGGGCTGTTTCAGTCGCCAGGGCTCCTGAGGGTGCACCATCTACGTACTGACTCTGTTCTGGGCCCCAGGGCAGAGAGGACAGAGGCAGGGAGCTGGCCAGACAGCCTGCCCCAGTGACTCTGAGCAGAGGATTCTGGAAGGAGGCACTGGGGCCGTCTGGAGCCGCTCCCAGCCTTTAAGCACATGTATTGCTCTTTCTTCTCCTTGCTCCCAGGACGCCTGTCATAGCCGGAGGAATCTTCGTGATTGACAAGTCCTGGTTTAACCACTTGGGAAAGTATGATGCCCAGATGGACATCTGGGGGGGAGAGAATTTTGGTAAGTTGGGAAATAATAATAACAGCAACAACAGTAGTAATAATAATTCATAACCCTGATTGAGCCCTTTCTCTGTGTAAGGCCCTGTTCTAAGGACTTCATACATATTAACTCATTTTATCCTCACAAAGACTCGCTGAGGAAAGTACTATATATCTCTATATTTTGCTGATAAAGAAATTGAGGCACAGAGAGGTTAAGTAGTTTGTCTAGAGCCACACAGCTAGTAAACAAAGAGATTTAGGTGGCCAGGTGGAGCCTGTGGCCCCACAGCTAGACGTGTATGTGGAAGAACATAGACTGTATCATGGACCTCGGCTTAAACATGTGGCTGCTTCCCTACCAGAAAGGCTGGGGGGTTGGTGTGGGAGAGGGTCGTGGTTAAATGTAAGCCATGGGTCAGAGGGCCTGGGGGCAAATCCTGGCCCTTCCACCTACAAGCTATTTGGCCCTGGGCAGGTAAAAGCCGCCCTAAGCCTCAGTTTCCCCAAGAGGCTGTTACGAGTACTGAGTGAGATGATGGTTAGAACGCAAGGCGCAGAGCTGGTGGCCTTTGTTGTGACTGTGAGGCCGGAGGAAGGAAAGGGAGGAGGCCAGTGAGGCCCCAGGGTCGCTGGCACGGTTCAGGCCAGATAAAGGCCGGATACAGATGAAGCACCCAACACGGGTAATTTAAGGAGGTTTGTTTTAACATGGTGTGGCCTCTAACAAGGGGGCCTATTCACATGGTGCGGGCAGGACATCAGGAGCCACAAGGGATGGTTTAGTCCTGGGCTGGTGACTGCTGGGAGGCGCACCCACTGGTAGGGAGCGTCCCCGGACAGGAGCTGTGGTCTTGGGGCACCTGCAGCCAGCCCTCAGCACCCAGGTGGAGGGTGTTAAACACCCACCCTCACTCTCCCGCTCTATCTCCTGCTGCTGCCTGTGCTGCCGGACCTGTCAGCCCGCAGGAAGGGAGTGGGAGGCCCAGCCATGCAGGCAGCCTCCCGGACAAGGAGCAGGACGGGCGGGGTGGGGAAGGGCGGCGAGCAGCCGGGGGGTTTCTAGGAGCGCCGGCAGCTGCTCTGAGGCCTGTTCCTGCCCTTTGCGGTGGGCCCAGTCCTTTGCAGAGCCCCTTCCCACTGTTTCTTTTTTCATCCTGACCAGGTTCCCCGTGAACTAAATAGGGCCGGTGGTATCTCACCCATTTGACGGGTAGGGAAACTGAGGTGGACGCTGCCTTCCAGATTTCGGCAGGAGACTCCATGCTGACGGGAGTGTGTGGTGCCTTTCCCAGAGCCACTGACGTGTTGTGAGGGGCGACCAGTCAGCTTCTGTGGGTCCGAGGTGTGAGGAGCTGGGCTTTCTCTCCCCATCAGGACACAGATGAGCTGTGGGGCTTAAAATAGGCCTGATTCCAACTCAAAGCCAACCGGTGTGGAACAGGCATGAGATTTCCTCCCCTTTGTAACTCACTCTTGGAAACCGGTTCCAGCAGGCATTCGGAGGAGTGAATTCTGGGAACAGAGCGGGGGGAGGGAGGGGGGTGGCGGGGAGTGCTCCCTCCATTCCGACCTTCTTTCAGGCGTTCTGGGCCTACGGGACCTCCTGTGTGCTTGCTCTTGGCCTGAAGGGGGCTTGGGCAAAGCCGGTTTCCTGTAGACTCCGGACTGGGAAACCCACGGTCTCTCCTGCATCCAGAGGCGTTTCTTTTTTCTTTTGTTTTAGGCTGGGGACTGACAGAGAAACAAGTGAATGATCAAATAGCTAACTTCAAACTTTGCCTGAGGCAAGGGCCCAGGGGTTGGGCAACTTGAAAGGCAAACTGGAGAGAGGTTCTGGGGAGGGTTTTGTTTCTTGGAAGAAATTCAAAGAAATTTCTAGGCTAGCCACGGTGCTCACGTTCAGCTTTGAGCCCGGAGACTCCTGCGGCTGGTGGATGTGGGCCTTCCATTTCATCCCTTTGTTGAAGGAAGAGAGATGCCCATGCTGAACTCTTGCCTGTGTCCCCGCCAGAGAACCACACTCGGGAGCCCAGAGCCCACCTTGAGTGGGGTTGCAAACGTGAAAGCCTTGGGATTCATGTTAGGCAGTCAGATGCTGTCACTCCTCTGCTCAAGACCCCACAGGGGCTCTCAGTCACTCAGCAAAACCCAAAGTCCTTCCACCACCTGCCCTTCCCCCACGAGCACATGCCACCAGCTCTGCCCTCGGCTCCGGCCTCCCTCCGCCTCCCTCACTCTGCCTCCTTGCTGCACCTTGACCTTGTCGGCCTCACTCCTATTTCTAGTCTTTCCCCCTGCTGATCCCTCTGCCGGAACGCTCCTCCTCAACAGCCACACGACTTGCTTCCTCGCCTCCCTCAGGTCTTAGCTCAAATGTCCCTTTTGAGTGAGGACTTCCCTAATCAGCCTAATTAAAATTCTACCCTCCCTAAATCCCCTTGCCCTCATCACTCAGTTCCCTGCTTCCTTTCTCTCCACTGCACTTACTGCCATCTGATAGACGACATATTCCACTCATTTTCTTATCCACTTGTATTTTGTTTATTTTACTGAGTTTCTGTCTCCTCCCTCTAGAGTGGAAGGGGTTCTAGGACAGTGTGTGACACATAACAAATAGGTGCTCAATAAAAATTTGCTGAATGAACTAAAGAAAACAGTGCGGCTTGCTGGACATGGCGTGACCTTTACGTTGCAGTTCTGCAGCTGAGGGTTTGGGTGGCCTTGGGGAGGTTAGTTAACGTCTTTGAGCTTCACAGTCCTTACTACAGACGTCGGGGTAACGATCCCAACTTCATGTGGTCGCCGTGAGGATTAGGCATCAGCTGCAAAGGGCATGGCCCATAGCAAGTGCTCAGTAAGTGGATGATGGTTCCTGCTACTGTTATTGCCGTTGGTGATAATAGCGGCAATGATTAATAATAGCATGACAGTTTGGGCGGAGTGGGATGAAGTGACTTACTAGCATGACAAAGTTAGTCGGGCAGAAATGGAACCAGAATGCAGACCTTCTGGCCCAGCTGCAGAGCTCTGACCCGGAGAAGGGGCCAAGGCCTGGCCATTTGCAGGCAGACCTGGGGAAGCCAGGAACAGAGCCACGCTGGGTGTGGGTCCAGATGCCCAATGTCCAGTCCTGGCCCCAGCCCACATCTGGAAGTCACCTGGTGCACACAGCCTGGCCAGAAGGTGGGCGTGAGTCCTGCTGCCTCCACTCCCTGCTTTGCTAGTCCCTGGGAGGGCCCCGAGCAGCTGTGCCCCCAGGCCTGGCCAGGGACCACGAGTGTCCTTATGGCCAGCTGGGGAGTGGGAAGAAGGACCGAGGCAGAACTCATGAGAAAACGGTCTTTTGTTTTTTGATTGAAAACAAAAAAAACAAGGGTTATGGATTTTCTGGCGCTGGAAGGAGATGTTTTAATATCACATGGTGTCCAACTGTAGGGTTAATTTGGGAGAAAGTAGGAAACCAGAAGAGATTGAGGGTCAGCCAGCTGCAGGTGGGTCCTTGCCAGAAGTGATGATGGTGAGTGGAGACCAGAGTGGGCGACCTGTGAGGGCCCCCCGGAAGCAGAACGGCCACTTCTTGCATCTCGCAACACTACTAGGGACCACGGTCACTTGCAAATGCTCATTCAGCATCACCACCGCCATCCGAAGGAAGCATGTCTCAGGAAGGCCAGTGGTAGCCTGTAAATGGAGACCACCTGGGCCAAAAGGGGGGTCTGGGACCAGCTAGAAAGATGCCAGCTGGAGCGGCCTGTGGCTTGGTGGGTGGGTGGTTTTCCAGCCTCTCGGGTGCCTGGAGCTGACTGACGAGCAGATGTTTCTTCCTGAGCTTATGTCTGGTTAGGGCTTTCTGGACAGAGGCTGGAAATGCTGCCGCCATTTGATTCAGTTTTCCTTCTTGTGATCTTGGGGTTCCTTCAAAACTTTCCTCACTGCTCTCCCAGGGCTCAGATGTGAGGAGTGTGTGTGTGGGGTGTGTGTGGTGTGTGTGGAGGGTGTGTGTGTGCACATGCATGGAGTGAGCAGTTAGGAACATGGGCAAGGAGCGGGTGCACCCTGTGTGAACAGGCCCAGGATCTCCAACCCCAGCATGCGCCTCCAAGGAGACACCAAAGGCAGGGGAAGCCAGCTCCTCCCCAGCTTCGCTCAGTGGGCACTTGCCTAGGGGCTCGTCCCCTCCTGACGCTGCCATCTCCTGCAGAGCTCTCCTTCAGGGTGTGGATGTGCGGTGGGAGCTTGGAGATCGTGCCCTGCAGCCGGGTGGGCCACGTCTTCAGGAAGCGGCACCCCTACAACTTCCCTGAGGGCAATGCTCTCACCTACATCAGGTAGGTCACAGTGCAGAGAGCACCGGGCTAGGAGCTAGGACACCCCGGTTCCAGACCCAGGCCCATCAGCTCATATGACCTCTCTGGGCCTGTTCTCCATTTCCCCCCACCCCATTCTGGGATTCCAGGTACTGTCAGGGATGGAAGGATGAAGTTGGGAGTGTTGCCACCAGGCCTCTCTTGTCTTGACTCTCTTTGTCCATGAGGGTCTTGGAAAACTGGCCAAATGACCCGCTAGGGGCTGTCCTTCCCTCACGGCCCCAAGGACTGGTCCTGGATGCCAGGTCCCAACCCTGACTTGGTCTGTGTCTGGATATCCATGTCCCAAGCCACTGGGCGGGCATGCTCGGTCTCGAGGGGCCGTGGGCCAGGTCCTAGAAGACCCCACCAACCCTGTGACCCATTCTCCTGACAGAGGCATCGGGGGGTGGGGGGCGGAGGAGTGTCGTGAGCGCCCCCAACAAGGACGAGCTTCTCACCAGGCCCTTGCTCCCTTGTGCAGCAGCACCCTCAGTCTAGCTCCCTGAACGGCCTGCCGTTTTGTTTTGCTTCCCCCACCCCATTTTTATTGTCTTTATAATTATAAAAATAATACATGTTCACTGTAAAACTTCAAGCTGTATCAATATATATAATATATACATATCTGTACGTATATTATATTTTTTACTCTTTATATCATATATAGAGAAAAAAGTGAAAGTCCCTTTTACCCAGTCTTACTCCTATCCCACTTGTTTCTCGAAAAGTAACTACTGTTAATAGATTTCTGATCCCTCATGTCAGGCCTTTTAATTCATTTTCTTGTATACAGTTTATGTACAAAGACATACACACACCATGTGTTTGAGTTTGTGATTTTATATAAATGGGGTCATGCTGCGTGATTTTCTGCCACTCAACACCAAATTATAGACATCCTTCCATGTCAGTAACCATGGTGTTCTTTTTCAAGGCTGCCTAGTACTCCCTTGTGTGGAAGGAGTTCATTATTCTCCTCTTGATGGGCATTTAGGTCATCGCCAATGTTTTATTAAATAAATATTCTTGTACACGTCCTTTTTGCCCACATGCTGGTATTTTGGTAAAATAGATTCCTTGAAGTAGAGTGTCAGAGAGTATACATACCTACAGAGTTGATGGATATTGACAGATTGCCCTCCAAAAAGACTGTCCTTGTTTATCCCACCCCAATCAGTATTGCTTTGCATACACTCCCGGGATTCTCATCGCCCTGTACTGCCCAGAGCTGGTCTGACCCTGGTCCTAACTCTGTCACCACCCTGGTGACCTTATTTTGCTCCGTCCTCTCCTTTCAGGAATACCAAGCGCACTGCAGAGGTGTGGATGGATGAATACAAGCAATATTACTACGAGGCCCGGCCCTCGGCCATCGGGAAGGCCTTCGGCAGGTGGGCCCCACCATCAGCCCTGGTTCCTCCCTCCCCCGTGTTAGCACAACCTTAGCAAACATCAAGATGATGTGTGCGCCAGGGAAGCGCTCCCAGTCTCCTTAGTAACTGCGCCTCCTGCCGCCCCCGGCTCTTCCGGCCTGCCTGGTGGGGTGTGCAATGCGGAGACAAGACCCTGGGCCTTGAAGGATGTGCAGCCTCATGGGGAGAAATAGCCGAGGGGGTGCACTTATGAAAAAGGGTCCACAAGCTGCCTGCAGGAAAAGGGACATCTGTGGGAGTGCTGAGCGCGGGCTGTCTGCAGGAAACACTTGGGGCTTTGTGTGCCCCATGCTGATCAACATCTGACTGTGCTCTGTTAGCCTGTTTTCCCCTCCTGGGCTGGTCTGACTGCAGTCTAGGTAAGCATTTTCAAAATGCAGATTGGTTGTGAAATCAATTTAGTGTGTCGTGACCAGCATTTTACAAAAATGCTGGAGAGAACTAGAACACTCGAGATTAGTACAGAACAGAATAGAAAACAATAGTTGATTGCAATTAAGGATAAGTACTGTTTTGTGAAACTCTCATTTCGGTCATATGTGTACGTGTGTGTAGCTATGTATACACGCGGGTGTCCTTGATCACAATGTAAGACGTATTTATTTCTTAGGGTTGTGGTCAGAAAAGTTTGAAAACATTGTTAGTGATCATCAGTGAATCCTTCTATATTTACTTATATCTATCCTTTAAAAAAAAAGTATGTCACTATTTCTTTTAGTGGGGAACTCACATTTCCTGAGGGAGTACTTTCTGCTAGGCACTTACGCCCCTTAATTCATTTCATTCTCACAAAAACCTCCTCAGGTAGGTGGTCATGTCCCTAGTTTACTGGAGAAGAAACGGAAGCCCATGCAGGCGGTGAAGGTCATCTGTCAGTGGTCCTTCGGGTCAGTGCAGCTGAGGAAGGTGGGGAGATCTGACTGGGGTGGCCAGCAGATGCATCAGATGGTTCTTCTTTGCCAGAATTCCTGAAAGCTGTTTAAAGCGTACTTTTCTTGTTAAATCCTTCCTGCTAAACTGGACGGCAGGGAAGGAAAACTTCTAGTTCACGAAGGCTCTGCTCTCCAGGAAAATAGGAACCAGTTCGTGCTATACTAACCGAGGTCTCAGGGAGGGAGGAGCCAGAGGAAAGTGTGGCCCCCTGTGGGCTGGGGGGACCTGACAGGTGAGCAGGAATTTGAGGAGAGAATGAGGAGGAGACCCGGCCTGGAGACCCGGGCTGAACTTGCAGGTCAGAGAATGACTTAAGACAGGGGGGCCAAGGCTCCTGGTCCTGGCCCGCCAGGGATAGGCAGAAAGAGGGGCTGGCCTCCTGGAGCCCTGGGAGGGGCCTCTGCTCTCCTCCCTGGGGCTTCCTCCGACACCTGAGCCTTGCCTCCCCCTTCAGTGTAGCCACGCGGATCGAGCAGAGGAAGAAGATGAGCTGCAAGTCCTTTCGCTGGTACCTGGATAACGTCTACCCAGAGCTCACGTGAGTGCCGCCCTCACCTGTGTGCTGGCCAGTGGGGGCCGCCAACCTGGGGGACCCCCGCCCTGAGACCTCCCCAGCCCAGCCAGTCTGGCTCTATCTAGCTGTCAGTGTGGATCTCCATGTGAAGGCTCTGGGGGAACCGAGAGGACATTACCAGGAGTTAATAGTGAGGTGTGGGAGGAACCAAATTTTTAACAAACTGGGTCTTCGAGCTAGAAATGGGCGTTGCTCCCTTAGAGAAACGACACTGCCTTATGTGGCAGAGGCCACAGAGATAGTCATCCCCTTTGACTCTGCTCTCTCCCCTCTGGAGTTTGTCCCAAGGAAAAGAAAGCAACCAAAGCAGAAAACTGTTGACAAGTGGATGTTCACCGTAGGCTTCTCTCTGCTGTGAAAAATCGAGAAACGACTAACAGCAGGGACTGGTGCCGAGAATCACGATACATCGATCTGAGCAAATGTTATGCGTCCAATAATATAATCATGAGGCTGTGAAAAAACGTGGAGAGATGCTGGCTCTGGCAAATGAGGACACACCTGCCCTTGGTGTATGTACTAGAGAGGCAGTGACATGTGAGTGTATTGCGCTCCGGGCCTGGAGTCACAGCCACAACGGCTGGCATGGTGCACAGAGGATTCTTACTTCAAAATCCTTCCCAGAGTCCTGGCTACATCCACAGCTTGTTTCCTCACCTCCTTCAGGTCTGGCTCGTGTCCCCTTCTGGGGCATTTGCAGACACCCCATTCCACGTCCCTCTGTGGCCTCCTCATCATCTAGCATATTTGTGGCCAGTTAATTTTGTTGTAGTCTCCCCGCCAGGACAGTAGCTCTGCGAGGGGAGAGGCGTGTGTCTGGTTGGTCGCTGCTGCACCTCTAGCCCCTAGAAGGCGCCTGTCCCAAACGGGTGCTCCGGGCGTGTTTTTGACTGAGTGAACTGCACAGTCAACAAGCCTCGGGAGTAACGTGTAAATTGGCACCCTCCCTTCTCTAGCTGTCCCCCCGGTGAACGGGTGACCCACTGTTGCCAGCTTTCTCCCAAGGATGCCCCCGTGGCTTCCAGAACACGGCGCCCCTCAGAGCCTTCATGTCCTCGAAGGAGGCAAATCTTGGGCCTCTGAGGGCAGATTTGATTTTTGGAAAACAGCCAAAGTTAGGTTGTAGCCAAGAAGTTAGATGATTAACCCAGAGAGCACAATCCTGGGTCCCAAATGCAGCGTGACAAGGCTGACACAAGTGACAAGAATAAACTGACTCTGGGAGCAATTTTCAAGGAATTCCTAAACAGTTTGAACAACGGCAGCATCCTTGAAGAAAGGTGGCCGTCTGGATAACCAGCTCCCCAGACGAGAGCCATGAAGAGAAGAGCGTTAGTGTATAAAAGTGTGATAAATGGACAGTTTCCTCAAGTGGCCACTTTGAAGGGGACAGTTTCATCCAGACGTGACAGTTCTGGGGAAAGCAGTCATTTCTTTACACTCTGTCAGAGTTCATACAACATTCTGATGGAGCCAGGGACTCTAGGCCTCGGGCGGGAGCTGGGAAGCCGTGGGAGGTGCTGGGGAGGATGGGGAAGGTGGCTTCCTCTCCCCTCCTCAGTCCCCACGCACAGTGTCCCATGTCACCCCCCGAGGACAAGAGGAAGGAGTGTTTGATAACTGTCAGAAACCCGGATCGACCACAAGACAGGAGACTAGATGAAACCAGCTATGCTGAATGAGGAGCATAAGTCATCATCTGCATCTTCCGTCACTGTGTGGAAGTTAGAAAGAAGGCCTTTTAAGATAGAAACTGCATGCCACCTGCCTATCCAGATTACTCATCCCCAGGGCACCCGTGCATGTTCCGCCTCAGTCCTCAGGGTGAAGGGCCAGGGGTGGATAGGTTGTTGGTTAGAAAGGAGATCTATAGCCCAAATGATACCAACTTTCCTCGAGACAGGGGGTCCTAATAGCTGGCCCACACTTGCAGATGGTCAATGGAGAGACTGAGGAGGCCGAGGGGAGAGGCCTTTGCTTTCCTAAGCCTGTCTGCAATCCTGCCACAGCTCTGCCCCTTATCCAGGTCAGGGTTCTGCAGCTGGCCTCATAAATAAATAAAAGCTAATTTATTGCTTTTATTATGATGGTCAGGAACAGTTGTGGAGGCTGTGCATTGCACAAGCCCACCACATTTGCAAGGTGCTAGTCACATAGTAGATATTACACATTTATTACAACCATTCCTGGCAGATGGCAGTAAAAGTAGTCCTCTAACAAAACCAGTATATGATGACAATTTTCTAACAGATGGAAGTAAATTATCTTGAGGAAGAAGTACCTATTGCTATTTCTATGAAGGTATCTTAAGGGTGAGTGGTGGCCCAGCTTGGAGGAGATCCGCAGAGAAAGACGCAGATGCAGACTTAAGAGAGCTGAGGACAAGCAGGACAGCTTAGCCTGGCTCTGCGGGGAGCTGAGAAAGGGTGGTGATGACGGCCATCCCAGCCGCTCCAGGGCTGCTGCCACACACACACCTCAGGAACTGCATCTGGTCTTGGGATTGCTGCCCGAGCCCCGGGCTTCGCCCCTAGGCATCATGGGCGGGCCTTCAGCGCCAACGGCCATTGCCACACGTGGACAGTGCCCAGCTCACCTCTGAAAGCTGATCACCTTGCACATCTCCCTGAGCAACAGCGGGTAGGAAGAGAATAGAAGGGTCTGGAACAACCCTTGGACTGCACTCCCCAGAGCACAGCTCTCAGCAGGCCCCTGGGTGGAGCAAAGCGGGTGGAGCTGTTGCCTCCTGACACCCTTGCACCCAGCTGGAATTGCAAACTCAGATCCAACAGGGCTCAGACAGGTGATGTAAACAAGCCAAGGTGGGGGGATGAGCAAATATAGGGAGTGGAGGGGACTGTGGCAAACTGGGACGCAAAGCCCCATCCGGGGGCAGCTGCTGCTCACGACAGTGTATCAGTGCCGTGCTGGCAGGCAAGCTCAGTGTGACCTGATCTTCCTATTTTTTCAAGAGAAGCTGGATTCAGATTTTTCTGTGTAAACTTGAAATTTCTAAATACTGCCGACTGATTAAAAGCACCAACAACCACACGGGGCAGGTCAGACATAACATGCAGGGGCCAGACTCAGCGCGGGGGCCGACAGTCTGCGACCTCTGCTCTGGAACCACATGACCTCTCAAGGGGGCTCTGGGGGGCTGCTCTGCTGCCAGGCGGTGGGGGAGAAAGCGAAGGCGTGTCCCCGAGGCTCTGTGGGAGCGGCCGGTCCTAGGGTCCCGGGGGATTCCAACCAGCCTCGAGGAAGGAAGACCTGGTTTGGTCAAGATCCTGCAGGATGTCCCATCAAGGAACGCCAGGACTGCCCTGCTGCCCCCAGCCCTGCCAAGTTCTCTTCCCGACACAGGTAACAGGAGGCAGGTCAGATTCGGCAAGTGGTCAGACTCTAAGCCCTCAGGGTTCCCCATCACCCTCTGTGGGTCCACAATCCCAGACTGTGTACAACCTTCTAAGCCCAGGGATACAAGCCTGCGGCAGCTGGGTGTTACCCACAGGGTAAGACCATGTGTCTTACGTCATTGTGTGTGTGTGTTTAAGCATATTTTCCTGTACATATAAAGTGTCTTAATAATATGGTATTTTGAAACACGCCTATTTTACTTAAGCATGTTGTGAACACTTTCCCAAATTACCAGACATTCTTTCACAGAGTTGTTTTTAAAGGCTAAAGGGTTTTCCATGCTGCAGATGAGTCAGAATTTACTTAGCCCATCCCCTGTTGTTGGATATCTAGAAATTTCCAATGATTTCAGTATAATCAACCACTCTGAGTTGAATAGTTGTTTGTTTGTTTGTTTGTTTTAGTGAGGAAGATTGGCCCCAGGCTAACATCTGTTGCCAATCTTCCCCTTTTTGCTTGAGGAAGATGGTCTCCGAGCTAATATCTGTGCCAATCTTCCTCTATTTGATGTGGGATGCTGCCACAGTGTGGCTTGACAAGTGGTGCTAGGTCTGCACCTGGGATCTGAACCTACGAACCCCAGGCCACCAAAGCAGAACACGTGAACTTAACCACTACGTCACCAGGCCAGCCCCTGAGATGAATAACTTGTAAACTAAATCTCTGCAAACACCTATAATTATTGAGTTCCCAGAAGTGGGATGGTTAGGTCAAAGGCATGCACATTTTTAAGGCCTTTGATACATAATACCACGTGGCCCTCAGGAGATCTGGGCCAATTCATGCTCTCACAGGCACGGTTTGAGAAGACCCAATCCCCCAGCTATTGCCAAGACTATTGATAATAAAAACAATAATAATATATGCACACACACACAAATATGTATTATTTTATACATAAATAAACATATATAAACACACACATATATATACATATATGGTAAACACTGGTAACTCTCTCATAGGTGTTTCTTTAATCATTAGTGAGATTGAACACATTTTCATATTTGTGTATTTTAAATTTGCCTCTTTAAAGCAACCCCTTCCTGTCACTTTGAGATTGCTTACTGAACCCACCTTTAGGCCCCCGCCCCTCCCCAGGCTTTCCTCTCCCTGGACTGAGGAACCCCAGGTTTCTGGCCCGAGCTTTCTCCCCATAGGGTCCCCAGGGCAGTCCATGGGCTCCCGGAGCTGCTCAGCATCCAGTGGGGCGAGGCCCAGTCTTCCCAGAGCAATGCTGCCCCCTCACCGTCCCCTGCCTACCTCCTCCTGCTGGCTGGGCCTGCCCCCCAGGGCCCCTCCCACAGAGACTGGCACCCTGGAAGCTGACTGGGCGCTGCCCTCTGGGTGAGCCCAGGGGCCGAGGCCCCATGTGACAGCTGCCTTTTCTCTCAGCGTGCCAGTGAAGGAAGTGCTTCCCGGCATCATCAAGCAGGGCGTGAACTGCTTAGAGTCCCAGGGCCAGGACACGGCTGGTAACTTCCTGCTTGGAATGGGGATCTGCAGAGGGTCTGTCAAGAACCCCCCAGCGCCCCAGGTAAGCTGCTTAGGACCTCCAAGTCAGGACCGGGAGTGGGGCGAGGGGCTTCCCTCTGCTCATCCTCATCCTCTCTCTGTCTACATCCTCCACAAACACCCTTTCCCAGGGACCCTGCAAGCTTTCCTCTCTCACTCTGTTCCTTGGGTCTGCTCCTGCCACGTTCCCATCCCCTTTCCAGCCTGTCACACAGTTGCCCCCTGAGTACAGCCGCTTTCTCCTTGCAGAGGGAGAAATGCTGCCCAAACAGCACCCAGTTCTCTCCTGGGACACAGCTGTGGGAAGCTCGTTTGATGCGCAGCAGGGCCTCCAGGACTCCTGTCTCTACACACGTGTGCAACATACGAGTGTCGATGCAGCCATGTCAAAACTAGAGCAGGTCACGCAGACCCGGGCATGGCCCAGCGCCCTGGCCGCCCTGGGCCCCTGTCCTGTCTTTCTCCTCTCCCCCAGTGTCCCTTGGTACATCCTTGATTGCCCTCTGGCCAGCTCCAGCTAAGCTCCCTCATCCTAATATTTTATTATGAAAATTTTCAAAAATATAGAAAAGTTGAAAGAATTGTGCAGTGAATACTCATACACCCACCACTATTATTTGTAGGAAATTCTACCAAAATACACAGTATATTTGCTTTATCACCTGTGTTCCCATATACCCATCCATTGCTGTGTTGTTGTTTTTTTTGAGGAAGATTAGCCCTGAGCTCACATCTGCTGCCAATCCTCCTCTTTTTGCTGAGGAAGACTGGCCCTGAGCTAACATCTGTGCCCATCTTCCTCTACTTTTTTATACGTGGGATGCCTACCACAGCATGGCTTGCCAAGAAGTGTCATGTCCACACCCAAGATCCGAACTGGTGGAGCCCGGGCCGCCAAAGTGGAACATGCACACTTAACCGCTGTGCCACCGGGCCGGCCCCCATCGCTGTGCTTTTTGACTCGGCCTTTCTGCTCCCTGTCTTGCAGGCATGGCTGTTCAGTGACCACCTCATCCAGCAGCAGGGGAAGTGCCTGACTGCTACCTCCACCTCCGTCTCCCCCGGGTCCCTGGTCACACTGCAGGTGTGCAACCCGAGAGAAGGCAGGCAGGTAAGCCCCTTGCCCCTGGGCACAGGATGGCCAGCAGCCCCAGGGGGACACGCAGCGGGGGTGGCAGCCCCTGCCAGGGGAGCCCAGGTTGAGACATAATAGACCCAAATAAACCCTCCAGAGTAAGACCTGTGGGGGCCTGAGTCAGTGTCTAGGTCAAGTCTGTTACCTTACTCATGAAGAAATGCTTCTGCAGGTAAGCGTTTGTTAAATGTCCCGCCTGCCAGCCGGAGAGCTCTGTGAGGGCAGGGACTATTTGTCTTGTCAATACATTTCCTAGCCTCTGACAGTCACCACAGCCAAAATAAGTGCGAGCTTTTACTAAGAGCTTGTGCTCAGAGTTTTACGAATCTCATCTAACCCTCCCAGCAGCCGAGCGACTCACTTTACAGATGAGGAAACCGAGGCTCGCTGAATTTAAGAAGCGTGTGTCAGGTCACACAGCCTGGAAGGGGTAGGGCTGGGCTTCAAGCCCAGGTCTGTGTGACCTCTAAGCCCACGGTCTTAACGCAGCACATAGCAGATGTTCAGTAGGTCTTTCTTGCCTGCTGCCTGACTGGGGAAACTGAGATGCAGATACAAGGATTTCCAAGCTGTCATGCCAGACTCACATGAGCACAGCCTTTTCCATGTGTCAAACACTCATCCACCCTGTCCCCATTAGTTTTGGGAGACCGGTCAGACCCACTGGTTGAGGAAGAAATGGATGCTCAGAGAGATGAAGACATTTGCTCAGGGCACACAGCAGCCAGTAAGAGAGTCAGCCCGGCTCCCACCTGTGCTGCTCTCTTCCTGGCTGGGAGGGCTGCCCCTCTGCCCAGGGAACAGGGTGCAAAGGCCAGAGGTCAGGTCCAGCTCTCCCTCTGCCCGCCCCTTCTCAGTAGCCCTCCCTGGGCCTGGCCCTGGCCAGCGGTGGGGCAGTACACAGGGCGAGGAGGGTGCCTGGCCCTCTGATTTGGTCTGCCGGGTTTTCCTCCCACCTGCTTATGTTTGTCTCGGTCAGCTTTTTCTTTAGGGGTGATTGGAGGTTTGCTTTCCATTCTGGAAAAGAAGCCAGACCCTCTCTCTGCAGCCTGTGCATGTGTGTGTGTGTGTGTGTGTGTGTGTGTGTGTGTATGCACGTGTGCATGTCTGAGAGATCTGTGGGCCACAGCCTGCTTGCTGGGCCTGCTGGATGCTTCTAAAGCACTTTCTGGTTGGAGGGATGCAGCTTGTCCCGCCAGCCCCCAGGCTGCCTGCCCTCTGCCCCTGCCTTGCAGTGAGGGGGAACCTCAGGTTCCCCTTCACCTAGAGCACAGACCTTTCTGAGGGTCAGGCCTGGAGCCCACTCCCAGCACCTCCTTGCTGAGGCAGAGCTCCCAGGGCACCCACCACTCGAATACTTCTCCTCTGGGGCTGATGCATCCATTTCCCCTTGGCGCTGACCCAGCCTGAGGGGCTCATGGGAATCTCCCTTGACCCCGGTCATTCTGCTCCTGCAAGTCCTGCCAGGCCCCACAGCACCCTGGGCACCCGTGTCCCTCTCCTCCAGGAGGACATGATGAGCAGCTCTCCCACGGCCAGTCCCTTCTAGAATCTGGGCCTCCCTTCTTGTCACTTGTTGGCCTCGTTTCTGAGGCCACTTGGGTGTCGGGTATCCATGAGGTCCCTATGCACTAGAGCGGGTGATGGAGTCAGCAGGTCCTAGCTCTGTCACCCCCCTCACCTCTCTGAGCCTCAGTCTCCTCATTTATAAAATGCCTCTGCCTCTGCTGACCTTGCAAGGACTCTGCAAGAACCGAGACTGTGGAAATGGGAGAATGCCATGAGGGGATATTGTTACTCTGGCCAGGCCAGAACTGAGTGGCCAGGAGAGTTGGGGCAGCCCCAAGACTGTGCCTGATGGCACCAGTAGGAAGCGAGAATCCTGTGATTTGGGGAGACGTCCTAATGACTGGGCGGTTCATTCATTCATCTATGCATCATCCTTCATAAAACTGCAACAGGTGCCTACCTTGTGCCAGGGAATGTGCAGATCATGTTGGCCACAAGGAGAAAAGAAGGACATGGTCCAGCAATGCCCAGCTAGGGAGAGTGTGGCCAGCTCCTCCCAGTAGGTCAGAGACTAGGAGAGCACAAGGCAATAGGATGCTGTGAGTTCCGGGGGACCAAAGGCCCTGTCCTACCCACGACTCCTGACCTTTAGGCCAGGGACTCCTCTCTCCTGCGGCCACGTGGGCCAGAGAGGCTGGATCTCAGCCCCACACCTCAGCCCTGCAATCCTAAGGGCAACCCGGGCTCCAGACCCCCCCGCCACCTTCTACTCCAGATGCACAACCCAAGTTGGTTCCCTTCTCTGCCCACCCCACGGCTCCCTGCGGTTCTAGCCCTGGCCCTGCAGCTGGCGCAGCCCATCTCCCTGCTCCCAGCTGCCCCAGCAAGAACATGGCCCCTCCCGCTCAGAGCCTTATGGGCTCCATCCATGTGCTCCCCAGCACTTCCCACTTCTTAGGGAGGACAAAGTCGATATGGGAAGAGAGGAGAAGGATGCAGGGGAGGGAAATAGGAGAGAAACCAAAATACAGAACTATCTCGCTTTTTATTCTTCCCTGAGCCTTGAAACCCGGGTCTCAGCCTCTCGTCCCTCCTCCTAAGTGTCCCAAACAACACTCCAGCCTCCATTCATAGGAACAACTCTTCTCCCGCTTGCCAAGCCCAGGGAAGGGGAGGCAGGAGGTGGGGGCACGGACCCAGGAGCCCCTTCATGACTCTGATAGGGGACCCAAGTGCTCCCACCATCCCGCCAACCTCACTCGTCATCGCTGCAGAGACAGCGGCCAGTTCCCACTGAAGAGAGTGTAGGCACCTGGCTGCACAGTTACAGGCCAGGGCAGAAGCTTAGGTGACAGGAAGAAGAAATCTTGCTTGAAGAAGTAAAAGATTCACCCAGCCCAGGCCGCAGACTCAAGTGCCTGCAGGGGGCGGGTGGGGAGGCCCTGGAGGAGAAAAGCAGGGACCAGATAGGACTCATGAACTGAGACCAGAGCCCCACCTGCAGTGGCGAGCAGGGCTCAGCCTCAACCAACTGATGCCACAGGAGGAACTGGGCCCAGGTCTAAAGAGAAGCTGGAAATGCAGATTTTTATGTCACAACTAAGCCAAATTTAAAATAAACTGTGCAGGCCACACAGAATACATCTCTGGGTTAGATTCATTCAGCCCACGAGCCTCTGATCGAGACAGTAACTTCCTGCCAAACTCCAGAAGCAAGAGAGTATCAGAAGGGATGGGGCTTAAAGCTGGTGTGGGGGGTGGGGGAGCCTTGTGTATAGGGGACACAGTCTGTTTTGAATGAGAGGTGTGTGTCCAGGTATACACAGGGCCATTGACACACATGTGAAATGAAGGTACGGATATTATTATTATTTTTGATCACTGTTTTCTTGTTCCCCTCCTTCCCCCTCTACCTCTCCCCCCAGAGATGGAGGAGAAAAGCCTCTTTCATCCAGCATTCGGTCAGTGGCCTCTGCCTGGAGGCCAAGCCCTCCCAGCTGGTGACCAGCAAGTGCCACGCTGACGCCCCGGCCCAGCAATGGCAGCTGTTGCCGCACACATGACGGTAGCCCTGGGGCCTCCTGTACCTTTTGCATGAGACTTTGGGACTGGAAGGGGGTTAGGGTGGGGGGGTGTAAAGCGGGCCGTTTCCATCTTACATTTCTGCCGGAACCATCAGCAAACACCCCTGCCACGACATACGTTTCTCCAAAGCTTGTATGGGGAGGCGCAGGGGGACATGCCCCGATGCCCTGGCCACCATTGTGGCCTTGCCTGGGGAGAGGAGAAGGTCAGGATGCTGGACTGCTGCTGGGGAGAGACTGGGAAGGTCCCCGGCCCTTTCTCCCCTCCCTTTGCCCTCCAGGGGGCCTGGACAGTGGTTTGAGGGCCCTCCTCTTGTTGGCTGGAGAGAGCAAGGACAGAAGCCCACCCAGGGCCCTGGCGGGGTCCTGGGGCCATCCCATGGGATTGGGCAGGAGAGGAGAATGTGGGCAGCATGAATGGGGATCCTGAAGCTGAGGAGAGAGGGGCAGCCTGCGGGCAGGGCAGGTGGAGAACAGGAAGGAGAGGAGAAGCTCAGTGGCCTGTCCCAGGCAGCTGCTGGGTTGGGTGCGGGAGGGATGGGATCCAGGGCAAAGGATGGGTAATTTGCAGAAGGATATGGGTGGCAGAGCAGCCGAGCCCCAGAACATGGGTCTCCTCCTGAGGACCCCATCCCCCGCTTGCTGTACCAGCCCCAGGGTGTGTGCCCCCCGTCCTGCACTCTGGACCCCACATTCTTAGTAAGAGGTTGCAGGGGGATCTTCAGGGATAGCCTTGGAACACAGTTTATTGAACAGATCCCATTTCTGTTTGGCCATGTGTCAGGCCAAGACCTCTCCCTTGGGCCTTAATGACCAGCTGGTGCCCTGTCCCCCTGTCTGGGCCCACTGTGACGACTCTGTAAGGACAGGCAGCCACCAGGCACGACTGAGCAGCCCCATCCTCATTCATAGTTTTTGACTCCTGCCTTCTCAAAAGCCTTTGCCTCTGCAAGTAGAGCATTATGGGGTCGGGTGGCCAGTAAGAACAGGACCTTCTTTCTGGGGCGTAAACATTCTCCGAGTCTTCAGGGAGTAAGTCATGCAGGCTGAGCTTCATCCTCACCCTCGCCCCCCAACTACTGGAGGGAGGCCCTCAAGGCTCAGCCGCTGCAGTGGGCCAGGAGGCCGGCTGGTGGCTCCTGCTTGTGTAGAGAGCTCCCAGTTCCTTCTCACAGCCCCTGGGCCTCTTTTCCCTACCCCATGGCCTGGTCTTGGAGCCACTTCTGCTGTTCTCCACGTTCCTCTTCCCCCACCCCACTGGCTCAGGCACTGTGATCTTGGCCAAAAGACTGGTGGTACCAGGACCCCTCAGGGGTCCCTCTCCCAAAGCAAACCAACCTGGGGCCCTCTAGGGAGTCCACAGATTCCAGAGGGCCTAGGAATCTCCTGAAATTGTCCTCCAAATAGCACATGTGTGTGCACATATGCATTTCCCTGGGGAGAGGGTCCATGGATTTCCCCAGCTTCTTACAGAGGTCCCTGCACCCCAAAGGGTCTGAACCTCAGCTCTGGACTGGAGCTACCATCCACGTGAGCTGCCGTGCCCCTCTCCCTCCCTGGTGTGCCTAAACTGCCATCGTCCTGCTCTCTCCATGTGGCCCTTGGGGCCAGGAGCCAAGTGTCCACGGTCCACAGCACCCGCCCTGGAGGGCTCTCAGTGGCTTCCCCTCACCTCCTGGCTCTCAGCAGTATCCTCTCAGCAGTGCTCCTGTGCCCCAGTGTGCACCCCCTGGGCTCACCAGCGTGGGGCCCTTGGCCAGCCTTCTCCCGTCCTCCGTTGTGATGTTTCATCTGCCACCATCTCCGTGGTGTGTGTCCACTCCAGTGGGCAGCATGGACCTTTGGGGATGGGGAGCGTGGGCTTCTCTCACTGAATGTAAGAGGACTACTTCTCAGAGAGCCTTCGAGAGGCCCCCCTCCCTGTGGTCAGACCAGGCTCGGCACGTGTCAGTGTCCTTTGTGGGACTCAGCCCTATTCTGTTTTGCTTTTCCTCTTCTTGACCAAAGCATGTGCCACTAGCTGTCCCTGAGGACCTTTTCTTTATGGAACACACACCTGGAATAAAACCACTTCTCATGTGTACACATGCACCAGCGCCTTCCTTTCTGACTCCAGGGCCAAGCCCTTCAGCGCCACCCTCCCCTGCCTCGTGGGGAAGTTGGGGCCTCTGTTCTGTAAAAGTGAAACTGAACACGCTCAGGTCTAAGCCCCTCCTGCACCTGATAGCTTGCTCCTCAGCCTGCGTGCGCTGTGGTACCCCAGGAACTCCTGGACGACAGGCTGGCTGCTTGGGGGGAGCCAGCAGGTGGCCCTGCTGCTTGGGAAGGCTGGGACCAGAGCCTAGGCTCCTGTGGCCTCATTGTGGGGCCCTAGTTGGGGCTTCAAAATGGAAACCAAGGGTTTTCTCCAAATGATTGCCTTTTGCCAGCCCTCTCTCCTTCCCCAGGCCCCAGCCCTGGCCCCTCTGACCTTCCCCCCAACTCCTCTCCCACACAGGAAGGTAGTGGTAACAGTGCAAGTGTGACAATCTCCCTGGGTAGAAACAGCAAAATAATTCCAGAAAGAGTCCTACCAGCCTAGCCTTGTTTGATGGGGTAGCAGCTGCTCTGCCTAATGTTTCCATAGAAACAAATGCAAAACCCCCAGCATTTCTGTGATCAGAAGCTGAACCTACCCAGGTAAAAATAAACGCGGCTTCCGAGCACATGTGAACGGCAGCAGGCAGGCCGGTGCGCGACTAACCCTCTCCTGAACGGATGCAGCCATTTCCACCCCAACCCCCACCCTGTCTCAGAGCTGCTCAGTGGTGATTCCCCAGAATTTCTAGCCACCAGGCCTCAGGGGCCTGGAGCAAAGACCTGGGGCTGGTGACAGTTCCAGGCACACAGTGTGGCTGCAGAGTCCAGCTTGGCCTAAGCTGGGCAAAGGCAGTGACTTATTGCAGAAGACTCTGGCCGCAGTCTCTGTCAGTCCGTCTGTCCTCTCAAGGAGCACAGCCCACTGCCCACTGCCTTCTCGGGCCTCCCTCCTGGCCAGACTCTGCCAGCTTTCCACTTTCTGTTTATTTTTACTCCCAGCCTTAAAGGCTCTCAGGCTGCTTCTTTTGCCCTCCTCCAAGCCTACCTCTCCGGAGGCCCATTTTCTCTCCCACTCCCTTTCTTTTCTGGAAACAAAGGTTGTTAGCCTTTAGCAGTTCCTGGAGGACTCGGCAAAAGCCCTTGGGCTGACCCCTTGCAACAGGCCTTACATGACCCAGAAGAGAGAGTATCCCAGAGCACAGGCGTAGGGGGCGGGAGCAACATCTGCACGGGGCCAACCTCTCGTTTGTCCAGCAGGGAGGGGTTCCTCCATCCCCGGGCCTCTGTGGCTTGGCTTCTGTGTTCACAAAGGCTGTTCCCTGGGCCCCTCAGTAGAGGTCTCCCCATTTGCAGTTGGGAGAAGTAACCTAGACATCTCTGTCCTCCAGGGGGTCTGGACCCCCATGCCTTCAAAGAGTCTTCCAGCACTGCATGGGGTGTGGTCCTTTCCCGCTTGTGGAACAGGAAAGGAAGCCTGGAAAGGAGAGGCTGGAGTTCATAATGTCCACAACTTCATTCCCGACAGTGTTCTCAATGTCTTTGGTATTTGTGTGTCCCCTGTGATGGTCTGAGTCAGTTTCCTCCAGAAGGAGGGAGGGGGACCCAGGCGGCTTGTCTCATCTTAAGAGATCTTCACTGCCAGGCCCTCAACAAAGACCTCGGGAAGGAGCGGGGAGGGGCCGCTCCCTCCTGGTCTGGCAGGCGTCCTGTGTGCATGGCGGACTGAACGGAGGCTCCGGCGCCCTCTGAGGATGGCCCTCTGCTGTGGAATTCAGCCCCGTGAAGTGGAGGAAGAGTGCAGAAGGAGTACGGGCTCCAGAGGCCCGATCAGCTGGGGCCGCCCCGCTCTGCCGCTTCCTAACTGTGTGGGCCTGAGCAAGTCAGCTCGTCTCGCAGCCTTGGTTTCCTTGCCTGTAAAATGGGGGTACTCGTAGCCCTAGAGGGCTTTTGTGAGGACTGATTTGTTCAACAACTGCAAAGCATCTTGCCCTTTCTAAATGCTTAATAAACATGTGTTATTGCTGTTAATAATCAACATTTTCTGAGTGCCTGCTACATACTAGGGGTGATGACACAAAAGTAAACAAGATAGAAATGGGCCCTGCCCTTAAGAACAGGTATTCTAGCAGAGAGAGGGCCAAATCAACAGACAGCCCTAACAGCACACGATTGAAACCACAGGGAAGGTGGCAGCTATGGGAGCGAGGGGGCCTCTCACTGTGGCCTCGGGGCACATTCTGGGCAACACCTGCCTCAGGCTGGGTAAAGGGTGGGCTGGTGAGGCCTGGTGAGCTCAGTTGTCCACAATAGCCGGGCTGGCAGCTCGGTGGGTAACTGCTGAGTGGCCTGGGCTTTTCACCCAGTGCACGCAGCATTGTGGCAATGTAGACCAATCTGTATTTATAGGGGAATTCTAGAAGGAAGCTACGGGAGCCATTTAAACCCAAAAAAAACATGCCTTCTGTTTCTTGAGCCAGTGACCATTCATCTGGCTCATTTTTCTTCCTTGGGGAGGGCAAAAGAAAGAGTGGGACCAGGTGGCCTGGAAAATTCAGGGATTCTTATCTGGAGAGAATGAACACAAAATGACCAGGAGGTTTTCTCTTTCCTCCCTGGCTCAGGTTATCTCTGATGCCCTCAAGCCATCTGAAAACCAGACCTGTCTTTCAACAATTCTTCTTTCAAATAAGTGTCTCTCAAGGTGCGTCCAGATAACCTGCTGGGATCACTTGAGATAGTTGTAATCATGTATATTCCTGGGCTCCGGCCCAGACCTGCTGACTCATGTGTGACGAGTGGCCCGGGTGGTACAGATGTACGTTGAGTCTGCAATTCTGAAGCAGGAGGGAGAGGGAGCCTTGAAGGCGAGTCAGGATGGGCCCAGACTCCACAGTGAGTACGCTGCACTCGACCTCTCTGCAAGAAGGGGAAGCCAATGAGAAGGCAGGCCAGCCCTGTGCTCCTTACTGTACTTCCCCTGGGAGCAAGATGAGTGGCGGCACCAGATCTAGGAGCCAGAGGTCTGAGCCAGAACTGGCGCCCCCTTATGGAGAGCAGCAGTGGACAAATGCCCGCAGCCAGGAAACCTCCAGTTGGACAGGAAACCAGGGCTGGCAGGAGGGTCTGGGGTTCTGGGTCTAGAACCAGGAGGAGGTTGCTTGGGGCCTCCGTCGGGGCCTCTTCCCACCATCAGGTTAGAGGCAGCTCCCAGCGTTGCAGGAGGCTTGCCGATGTGTGCTGGCCTGCAGGCCACACAGCCCTCTCGGGAGGCTGCAGAGCTCCAGGTTCCTCTGCTCGCGATGGCAAGGGCTGCCCTTGCCCCGGGATGACTGCTCTCCAGAGCCTTGCTCTCCATGAGGGTGGCAGTGTGGGGGCTGTCAAGGTTCAGTCAGGTCACAGTAAGTGGTGGGGGCAGCAGGTGGAGCAGCAGAGTGGCACTGGGAGCTCCCTCCTGGATATGTGCGTGACCTCGGCCCGGTGCTCCCATCCTGCAGCTGTCGGGTGGAGGGCGGGGGACTGACGTCTTTCTTTCTCATGGATGCAGGGGAGGTGAGCAGACGCTGGGCAGCAGTTTGAGCTTGGGGAGCCCCCTCAGGGGTCATGCAGACTCTCACACTGTGGCAGCTTCACCATGAACATCATCAAGCCCACAATGATGTGCTGAGCATCTCCCCACAGAGGACTTGCAGTGGGCTCAGAAGAGCCCCGTAACCACTGATGGTCAAGGCTGTCCAGCACCAGACACCAGCCAGCCAGGCCAACCTCAGCTCCCACCTCTGTTCACCCTGCAATCCAGGCAAACTGACTTGTGTCCTGTTTCTGAAGTTGCTTTCTGCCTTCTCTTGTCTGTGCGTTTGCTGTTCTTCCCACTGTCTACCTTGTCATCTTCATGGGCCGAATGCCAATCACTTTCCAGACAAAGGCTGCCTCCCACCTGTCTGAACAAAGCCTCTCTCCAGCTTGTTTCTTCCGCGTCTTGAATGTTCCTTTCCAGCCGCGGTGAGCGCCTTCCTCCTTACGCTGTGATGTGGTCTTGTCTTCTCTAGTCCTTACTTGTGTTCTCTTTCCTGTTAGACTGCAGCTTCTTAATAACAGGGCCTATGTCTGCTCCAGCTTTGTACTTCCCACAGCCAAGCACAGAGCCTGGCGCTCACGCTCCCAGGAAATGTTGGCTTGCCCAATGAAGGAAATAAAAATTTTAGCTGGGTCGGCTTTTGTTTGTTAGTTTTAGTGATAAGGCATTTTTGCATTTAGGGATTATTACATTGCACTGAGAAAGCACTTAGTCTATATATGTTCATTTTTCTCTCACTTCTTAAAAGCTTGATATCTTCACAACTCCACCCTTGCTACTTATTGTCTCTAAGCCCTCAACAACCAGATGTTGGTGATGCTGAGGGCTGACATGGATTGAGCATTTCCTGGGTGCCCAGAACTTGCTATGGCTACCATGGATATTCCCACATTTGGTCCCCAACACTCCCCATGGGGTAGGTTCTGGTATGCCCACTTTACGGATGAGGAAGTAGGGGCTCAGTGAGGAGAAGAAACTCGCCCAAGGACAAATAGCGAGGTTTAAACTCAGTCCCACAGAAGTGTAGGTCGGTGGTTCTCGAAGTCCCAGACCAGCAGCATCAGCATCACCTGGAAACTTAGCAGAAATGCAACCTCTTGGACCCCACCCAGACCTACTGAATCAGAAAGTCTGGAGGTGGGGCTCAGCCCCCTGTTTGACAGGCCCCAGGGGATTCTGATGCACACTCAAGTTTGAGAGCCACTGGTTTGGTGACGGAGATGGGTCCTTGTCCCCTGACTGGAGGGCATGGGTCACCACCTGGCACAGAAGGCTCAGAGAGCTGATGCCATGTGCCGCAGGCCTTGCCTCTGCTAAGCAGGCTGCCTCCCACACAGCTCTGGGCTTGATGGATCTCTCGGGGCCCGGGGTGGGTGGGTGTGAGGCTGGGCCAAGGTTTGCCGCTCAGCCAGATGCCACATGCCAACCCTACTTTGTGTGATTTATGAGTTTCTTCCCCGGCACCAGCCACAGATGGCTGACTCGGTTATAGAAGCGCTTGCTTCGCAGAAGATTCATTAATCAAGGCATCAGCACTGCACCTCCCGGCCCGCAGGATGGGCATATGTTTTACCGCGAGTTACAGGGCAAAGTCCTTTCTATGGCGCATCTGACTGATGACATTCACAGCCAATACTGTCACTTATCACCAGTCACTGAGATTCACACATTTTAGCTTCTTTAATCCTGACAACTCTCTCAGGTAGGTATTTTCATTATCACTATTTACAAACTAGGAAATTGAAGCCCAGAGAGATTAACACACTTGCCCCAGATTTACCCGGCTAGTAGGAGGTGGAGCCAGGATATAAAATGAGGAGGTCTGACCCAGCGTCTACACTCTTTACTGCCCTTTATTGCCTTTCACACATTAGTTCGTATCCTCATACCAACCCTGACACTTTTGTATTGTTATTTCCCCATCTTGCAGTTAAGGAAATTGAGGGCCCATGCAAAGCTCTCAGTCTCACCTCTAAGCCTGAGCCCTGTCCCCCCAACCCTACATCCTTTCAGAATGGCCGATACTCAGAAGCCTGAGAGGAAGGGTGCGCCAGGGTTGGCTCTACTACCATCATCTACAAACACAGGAACAGGCTGAGAGGCCAATATGCCCAAAGTCACAGAGTAGGAAATGGCGAGCGCCAGGACTCGGCAGACCCCTGAACACAACGTTCCATGACACAGTGACAGAGGCAACTGCTGATGGCTCTGCCTGGTGCCAGGGGTCTTCTCTGGAGCCTGGAGGGTGAGACCCCCTGAGTGACCTGGCCCCACAGGCCAGGGCTGCTTTGCCGCAGCGTCTGCTTTCTCCCTGCATCCCGGCCAGGGCTGCTGTTCCCCAGATGTCTTCCTGGCATTAAGGTTCTCTGATCTGCACTATCTCTCCCAGACACTAGCTTTGTGCTTGTTCAGGTGGATCTCCTTTTGCAGGCCTGAGCCTGTGGCTTCATTCCCCTGACGTGGGGACTTGAGGGTGCTTCGTGGAACCCAGTGGGTTCACGTAGTTTTCACCAGGCACCTGGGTCCTCTTTGCATGCTCATCAAGCAGCTGGGCTTACTGTAGATGTATTATAACCAAATGCGTCCATCTGAGTTCTTTCTTGGCTCCTTTACGCTGTGACAGCAGGGGTGGAGAGGAGAGTTCCTGCCTTGCTGTGAGAGAACAACTGCTCCAGCTCTGCCCAGCCATTTATGAGCCAGGTGACCTCCAGTAAGCCACTCAAGCTTCCTGAGCCTCAGTGTCCTCAACTGCAAAGTGGGGGTGATGTGGGGGAAGCTCAGATGAAAAAATGTCTGTGATTGGGCCTTGGAAGCTGGAAAGCACATGCAGTGGCCGGAACACTACGGAGTGTTCCTCTGACCCTGGGGCAGGCCAGAGCTGCTAGAGCCCAAGGCTGGGGACTTTCCAGCTGCTGAGGACATTCTTGAGCCAACAGGCCTTGCAGCTCAGACACGGCGGCCCAAGGCAGTGGGAAGCCAACCAGGAAGGAAGAGGTGGGGAGTGCAGGCGTCCACTTGGTTCCTAAGCTGGAAATCGCTGACCTGGCTGTGGAAGCTTTTTGGTGGCACCTGCTTTTCCCTTTGAGAAGCAACGAAAGTACATTCAGCAGTAGATTCAGTTCGATGTTCCAACTGGCTTTGAAAATCTTCAGACTAGTGGGGACGGCCAGGATGGGAGCCGGGAGGGAGGGTCACGAGGCAGGAAGTGGCTCTGACTGTCTGGGGTCTTCGGAGCAGAGCTGCCCCTCTTGCAGCTGCATCCCAGCCTGCTGTGAATTAGGGATCACTGGGCCTGCCCCATGGGGCAGAGGAGATGGGGGCTGTGATGACTGTCCTCGGCCAGTGGCCTCTGTCTGTGGAGGCCACCCAGGATGTAGCCTTGCCACTCTCAGAAGGCCTGAGGGAGGATGACAGAACCACGTGGTTGAGAAGGCCCCACAGATATTTATCAATG